GGTTACCATGCTTATTTTCCTTCAACGTTGTTTCTTTTCTTTTTTTTTTTTTTTTTTTTTTTTTTTTTTTTTTTTTTTTTTTTTAACGAGGGGCCCAGTGCCCAAGGCTCCAATTATGCAATTGAATACAAAGCGAACCCACGCCTCTTCCCATTAGGGCTGGAAGAGCCTCAGCCACTGCTCCCATGGAGAAAAGCTTCCCTATTCAGTATGGATATAGCACGGGCAAGGGGCATTAATTGCTTCCCAATAAGGAAGGATTAACCCCGCACCGTGCGGGCTCAAGCTCTGCCCTGCTCAACTTGACTAAATCTACTTGGGTCGTCCTGCACCGTACACACTGGGGGGGGAGTAGCAGCGGGGTATAAGAGTCTAACTAGATCGAAGATCCCATCCAACCCTTGGTAATTCATTCTGTAATTAGGATCTAAAGTTAACAAAGAACGTGTCTCCCTAGTGTAACCCTGATTAGTGCAATCCCTTATCCAACGGGACGAAATCAAACAGGGAGAGGAAATCAACGTCCGACTCAAAGCACCACAATGAAAACAGATTCCCATCAACCAAGAGTTAACTGTCAGATTGAAACTATCAGATCGAAGGACTCAGGTGTTAACAAAAGAATGAAATCTAAGAGCAGATCAGGACGGGTCCCGTTCACATGACATCGACGAAAATTGAGACCGACCCGATCCAATCCTGGCAATTCAAATTGTACTGGTGTAAAAAAAAAAAACGGAATCGAGAAAGAAGATGAGATCAGGACGAGTCTCATACCATGAAATCAATACAGATCCAGACCGCCCCAATCCAATCCGAACAGTTCAAACTGCAGCCCATCAGGGTAAGCGAGGAGGGGGGGCAATCAATACTTGAACAGATCGACCTCCACTGCGGTTGAGGTCCATACAGGGTGGTCACATACGAAGGGTCGAAGCTCCATGCAGGGTGGTCACATAAGAAGGGTCGATCTGATCTCCTTTAATCTCGGCCACTACCCCACTCCATCTCGCATCCATTGCCCGTGCTCGCTCCCCCAAGGATAACGGTCCCTCATGCCCAGCTGCCCACCGAACCCCTCCTCCCGTCCTCTACGCTGCCCAGGCACGCCAACAGAGAAGAGAAGAGGCAAGTGTGCCACCGCTTTAGCAGAGCACGGATCGTGGTTCGTGTTATTACGTACTGTAAAGATGACGTGAGCAGTGCAGAGATGCATTACTGTAAGGGTGACATGAGCAGTGCAGAGATGCACGAAAGACAGGGAGGAGATTAGAGGAGGACGGGAGGAGAAAGAGGGGATGTCGGGAGAAAGAACGAGAGCCACTTCGGGGTCCTTGCCCTCCAGCTGCCGATTATCACCATGCACTGTGCGAGCCGACTCGACCTCCTCCGCTGCTTGCCCCGCTGTCGAACTTTTCATTGTTGCTGATGAGTCTGTTGTCATGATGGATACTGTAGTTGCTGTCGCGGGTGGCATGTTCGATAAGACTGTGATGGCAAATGCTCCACCCATCATTATTGTCGAAGTTGTTGTGGATGGTGATAATGTGTCAAGTGAGGTCGACTCCCCTGAAGACGGGATGAGAGGATTGAAGTCCAATCGAGCCTCAGTCTCCAACCTCTTCTTCAGCACATCACGATAATCGATCCCCTCTCCGAAAACCGTGTTGCAGCCGAATATCAGAGCGTCCGCCTGCTGCCAATCAACGAAATCCTCCAGTTCCGGATCCTCCTCGATTTCCCAGAGGAGCGTTGAAAGTTGCTGACACTTGTCCTCCAGCCATACAACCAGGGCAGATCCCCCCCAATCTGCCACCGGCCAGGCCTGAGCAACGGAGGACAAGACTCCGACAATCCGTTGCATGCGCCTCTGTGTGTCTTCCAGTGCGACCAGCCACGCGTTCGCCCGGTGTTGAAACTCCTCTGCTGAGGCCATCGCCTCCGGAGCTGCTGCCATGACGTGCGATGCCGACTTACCTTATTCGATGTAGTCGCTATTCTGCAGTGTCTTCGCCAGTTGTTCGCGCAAGGACGCCTTCTGTATGCTGACCACAGGGTGCTCCTACCCCGCCAGTCTCGCCACCAAGATACTCCCTGTCTATGCCTAGGTCAACTCTCCTTCTTGCCGGCGATGGCGTCAACACACTCCGTCCCCCTCGGCATCACCGAGGACTTGGGTCCCATGACCGCCGGACCCGCCGGCCGGTGTGTTCCCCACGCACTCGCGCAATGGCACACGTGTGTTCTATTTGACTAGAACATCTGCAAGCATGGATCGGATTTATTTTTTTTATGAACACCTGCTGAGACGTTTGGACCATGTCTAGATTCATGTGTGTCATCCTTGCCCAGGGGCCATGCTAATCTTCTATGTATCGTTCCAATTCTTACGGATACTGGCTGGGTAGAGGCCCGGAGGACAGATATTGCCTTCTACCCAGAAAACCGCCATCACTTAAACGACTTACGTTTCGCAGCCATTTGCTCTCGCCACATTTTTGGGGGTAGCCCTACCGGGGCAAAATGGCTGGTGGTGCCAGCCAAAAGGAGGACCGCACCGGTTCAATTTTCTTTGTCACGCAGGGCATTTCCAGGCTCGGCAAGGGAAGGGTCAAAAGTACTGGTAGTGTGACAGTGTCAGGCCTAGAGCCGCGGCCAGACGAGACCTGCAGAGGAACCCCTTGTGGCGCTCCCTCACAGAGACCTGGAGAAAATTGCCACTGCCAATTAACATGTTTCCTCGCGCATGGAGTTTCAAAAAAGATAAAGAAGATTAAAAAAGAAAAGGGGGTAACTTCGGCGCAGTCACGAAAATGGTTTGTAATTGCATTCCAAACACCGATTTGGCACTTTAGTCAGGGGCAGAGTTTCAATTGCAGTTGAAACTCGGCCGTAGGCAGTTCAGTCTATCCACGACGAGCAGGTAAAAAAAAAAAAAAAAAAAGCATCCCTTATGCTGTGATTGCGGTCCGATACAGGATGCCACACACTTGTCTGGACCAGAAAGAAAGCTGCCTCGCGTGAAATCCGCCCTGCCTGGCTGGCAGGGTGCTACAGGGACCTCACAAAGAGAGACAAAAAATGACAAAAAATGAAAACGACCCGTTTCATCTTTCTCACTTCCTGGCCAGATACATTCCTCAAGCACTGGTGACGTGAGGGCCTTCCCCACGTAGCTGGATTCAAAGTTCCTCTTTTCTTTACTTTTTTTTTTCTTCTTTTTCTTTTTTCTTTTTTTTGGCCCCCTTCCCTGCCCCCAGCCCCCCTCTTCTTCGGAGTAGGTTACTCTTGAGACTTCGCGTTTGCCTGTGAAGGGTAGTGGTGGTTTAATCTCGGCTGTGGCCGAGACATCTCGGCGGGTGTTTATTTATTTTTTTTCCAGCCGCGGCGCGGCGCGGTACGGCGTGCAACCTCAAAAAAAAAAAAAAAAAAAGAAAGAAAGAAAGAAACGGCCATGTGCCTGACTCAGGCTGACTGAACTGCTAGAAAAAGGCAGCCTGAGTTTCAACTGCAATTGAAACTCGGGCCCTGACTACCTTCTTCCCCCGAATACAACGTACGGTCATTATAGCTGTATCTAGACTGAAAGACACCCCAAATACAGCTATAATGACCGTACGTTGTATTCGGCGGAAGAAGGTAAACTGCTAAAACGCAGTTTGCAATTACAAACTGTAAACCTGACTGCGCCGTAGTTTTCTCAAAAAAAAAAAAAGGACATCTGGCAGACTGATGAAAAACAGATGGAAAAAGAAGAACCAGTTGCGAAAATCTTGTCCGATACAGATGTACCAGAGCTTGTTTGCTTCAGGAATATGTTTTCGTAGGGTGATGTTTTTTCTTTTTTCTTTTTTTGGCGGGGGGCCCAGTGGCACTGCTCGCCATCCACTAGGCTGTTTCGCAAGTAGGTGCATCCTTGCAACTTGCTCGCCAAACTTGGGAGGAGGAAAACCTGTCGGAACTTTTGGCAAGTTTCTTTTTCCATTCCAGCCCCAGACACCCATCCACAAACTGGGCATGGACCCCCAGGAGTGGCAAGGGGAAACTGCACGAAGGCCCGGGGCAACACTCGGCAAAAAGATCCATGTACAAGATACTCCGATCCGAAAGAGCATGGCGAGATCTAGTTACAGACAGATGGGCCAGGCATCTAAACGTGGACAGATCCCTCCTGGCACCTCTTAAATGGTTTAGCGAAAGCAAGGTGAGACCCGCTAAAATTACGTCGTTGCAGTGGCAGATTGCCCACCGTTGCCTGCCGACGAATGCCTAGCTGATTGACCACACCCATCTGGAACAAAAGGGGTGGCACAGGCTTCCATGGTGCCAGAGGTGCTTCACAGCCTTCCCCCCACAAAAACGAAACGAGGTTATTGGACACACTTTCATGCAGTGTCCTGCTGCACTGCTGACATGGCGCTGGTGGGATCACATCTGGCTTAAAATGGCACCAGACACACCTTGGCCATTTTCCTGGCAGGCTATACTGGCAGGTCACTGCCCGGCATTGGCACAAGCATCCACCTTTGCGGACAATCTGCACAGACTGGGTAGACAGACAATTCTCTGGGCACTTTGGTGGCAGCGCTGTATCCTGGCTTTGGAAGGGGTTAGAGTAGAGGGCCCTGAGCTGACAGGGCAGATCAAGGAGCTCATCAAACTGGAACTAACGTGAAGGTGGCACAAAGCTCAAGCCCCAACTAGACATCTTCCAGACCGACCGGGATATCAAGCGGGCGACTACGACCTTCTGTATGGATTGGCTGGGGGGACAGTGGGTGGGGTGGATAGCACGGGTTGAGTTGGGGGGGGTCAGACTGCTCCGTCAGGACAGGGAACCCCCAGAGACTACAGTCTTGTTTTCAATGACTGGAGTAACATTGAGCCCACCTTGCCGATGAGACCCCCCCGTCCGATTTTCCAGACCCCTTCCCGCCCCATCCACTCTCCCTGATGGAAATCCCAAACTAACCAAGACTTCATCCCCCCCGGTGGCCCCGGGGGGCCGACATCAGCAATGCAAAGAGGCCACGCCCTACTGAAGATCACTGAAGGCTTGGAACTAGGCGAGCAAGCATCCGGGCGTGAGTTACGGTCTCAGACTGGTGCCTAGCGGCAGGGTAAAGAGGTCCCAGGATCAGAGACTCTTATTAGAGCATTTCAGTAGGATAGGGAGTGGCCCTGACTTTCAGACACAGTTTTGTCTTTCAAATGCATTCAGACATTGTCAATTATCATGTATCATGGTATGCTGGGCTCGTTTTCCGGCGGGTGCTGCTCCCCACCAATAGACTGCAGCATTCGGCAGCAGGTTACCTGGGAAGGTGCTGTAATCACCCCACCTGGTACTCCGAGGCCGGATTTGTTTAAAAAAAGAGAACTACTTTTTTGCAACCGCTGCAGAGGGCCTTGCTCCACTACTCTCGACATGCACAAAAGACAAAAATCATGGCGGTGTATCTTTTTTCCTTGTTCTCATGGAAGATTCACTCTCGTTTTGCACACTTCGAGAGTAGTGGAGCGAGGCCCAGAGTGTTGTGAGTTCCCAACTTTCTACTGTGCTTTTGTGTAGAGTCGTCCGTGTGACCCCTCCACAAAACGATTTCTTGGAGAGTTCTCAGCCTCGGGGCTGGAGATCCGGCCAACAAAGCTTTTTACTTTTCTGTGACTGTTCGTTCCCGCGGAACATTCATTCTCACTTTGCACATTTGGTGAGTTGTGAAGCGAGACCCATGTATTGTTATTCGACGCTACGCAGCGGTTGTGTCTGTTTGTTTTGTGTGAACTTTTTTGTTTGTGTGTGATTTTCACCTTTTGTTGTATCTATCACCGTCACGACGATCGTTCTTTGTTTCAAGGACCAGGGACAATGTTCCACTTGGGACTAGGAGATAAATGGCAATCCATAACGAAGATCAAAAGCCATAGGTATGTCTGGCCTCTTGCAAGAGGTACCTTATTCCTCGTTCTTCGTTTCAGGGACAGGAACCCAGTTGGAGGCTGCTATGTGGCCTCGCTCCACTACTCACCACATGCACAAACGACAAAAAATATGGCACTGTATCTTCCCATGTTATAGCGGAAGATTCATTCTCATTTTACAGATATGGTGAGTAGTGGAGCGAGGCCTACGGGCGCCAGGACGGGTTTGGGCCTACTGATGGGCCCGCTCCACGGCTCAACATTTTACACGTATACAGTCTGAAATGCAGACCACCACACACTGGCACTGATAAGACATTTTTTAAGAATGGGTCTTGCTCGACTACTCTCCACATTCACAAAAGCCAAAAAATATGCCTAGTGGAGAATTAGTCTCATTTCACACACTGGGAGAGTAGTGGAGCGAAGCCCAATGTAGTTGGAATCGAACTAGCATTTGCTATTGGGGCGGTCATGGCTCCCCGAGGGAGCGAGTACAGTGGTAGTATCCCCATATCCGAGATGTTGGGTCCGGTTCCACTACTCTGGACTCAATAAAAAATTAAAAAGTCGATCTAGAGTTGTTAGGTTATAGATTATAGCAAATTTGGTATCATCGCTCCACTAAGGGCCTCACCACACCACTCTGGAAATAGGAAAAGGACGAAAACGTGGCAAGTGCATCTGTTAATGCATGGGTCCTGGGGACCATCTCACGCAAGTGTGTACATGCCATGCATCGTACTCCCACACACAATGAACAGTAGTCTGACAATAGACAAAGATAGAGAAGACGAGGACCGAGTTTCACAGTTTATATTATCAGAAATATGAATACAAAGTGTTTCAAAGTTCCCCTGAGTCCAGCGCTCATCAGCGCAACACCAATATCTTGCCAACTCATCAAAATGCCTTCCAGTGAATCAGTGCTACCCCAGCAGATAGTCTCCAAGTCATCAATGTGGTCACCACTCATCAGCGCCACCTCTGCAGGTCACATCCAACTCAGGTAAGTATCTTCCATAGCCAACCTTGAATGAACACACTCAGCCTCAATCCCTTCCTCCTATGATGCATACACACTCTTCAATACTCATGAGGATCTACTCAGGATACTACTCATAGCTACATACTAACCCTCTACT